GCATATTTTCATTAAAAAAATTAGCTAAAATTATAGCGCTTAAAAGAGAACAGTAGAAAATCCTAAGTCATGAAAATTTAAACACCTGCTCCTGCAAACACTTTACTTCTTCAGCATAGCTAATTGTTAACTCCACTTTTGAGAGACAAATGCCTCAACGTAGCCCTAGCAGCCCCCTCCCATCGGATAGTAGACCCTCCCGCGCCCTGCCTGCGCCTCTCCACCCTCCAAGTTACATTTGTTGCTTTCTTCTACAGTCCGCCGGATAGCAAACTGCTCCGCGGCTCGCCTGTGCTTTTCCGCCATTGGCCGATGCTTTCTCCAATCACTACATGTTGTCCACCGGCCACACTCCAGAGCTACTACGCATTCTGCTCACTGCCACTAACCCAGATGAGTCGCACCAAAGGCATCTGCTCACACTGGATAACTCTTCCTAACCGACAGATCTCACGAAAGGATTCATCATTCATCGATTCAGGTAAATCTCCCTCCTACTTGTTGCTTGGCACCATTTTATTTCTCTCCTTCATCCCTCTTGTGTGCCCATGTTTGTTTAATTCCCCCAATATCTACATTTATTTACTTGTAACCTAATTCCGATTTTCTCTTAATTTGAATGATGAATTGGTAATCATTGATTATGATATTATCAAAAAATTGTAACCTAATTTCAATTTTCTCTTAGAATGAATGAAAGATTGATGATAACAGCTTGCCCCTTCTGGCTTACTTAAGTCATTTGTAGGATTGAGTTTACGTTCTCTTGGTTGTTGAATGAGTTTTCCAAATGGCCTCCATCAACCGCTAGATATATGTTCTCAAACTCTGTGCTTGGTATGTATGTATGCTCAAAGAAACAAAAAAAAAAACTGTAAAAATTAAGGGTACAACCACAACCATAGGGGAGGCCCCATTGTATCCTGTGGCATTACAGAACATTTGGAGGAAAGGTTAACTCAAAACTTTAAATTGATTAGTTTGAGAATGTATTCAGATATTATAACTACTAAAAGAATGAGTTTTTCTAGGCACTGTATTCTGATGTTATTCGGATGTTTTTTAGGCTAATTTCATAGTTGTAGTTCGGAGCTGACTGTGACTTAAGAAACTGAAATTCATTGTAATTATCGTCACTTTCATCAGCTTATGAAGAAGGGTTCTAGTCTCTCAATAGCTCTGTTAGTGATGTAGGTTTCACTGAAATTTTCTTCTTTGTCAGGTTTGCATATGCAGTCCCTTATATATCATCTTAAGGTTTGACATCGTCCCCTGACATTTGCATAGTATAGAAAATGACCTTTTCATTTTCTATGGCATACACTGTGATGACTTTTATTATGTCAATCACTTGTGAGATATATCCCACATGTCAAAGTTCTCCTTGTGATATCTACTTGTTTCTACTTTCTAAACTTTTAACGGTGAAATATAACACTCCCAAGTTTGTTAGTAGATAACAAGTAACACACACACACACACATATATATATATATATATATATATATATATATATATATATATATATATATATATATATTGGATGAACTGTTGACTTTCTTGTATTAACACTTTCTCAAAGGCAATAACTACTCCGGGAAACATATGATGTACTTCGTATAACTTTTCCGTTCCTTTTCCTAAGATTATTAAGTATCAAACACTTGTGAAGTTATGCAATAAAAACAACCTCATCGTCCAAGACGGGGAGGGAATACACTTAAACCCCCTATAAACTGATCTCAACAAAGGGGAAAGAAAAAAGGGAAAAACAGAGTTGAGTTCATGTTAAAAACATTTCTAACTAATCTGATGTGAATTTAGAAGCAACAAAGGTTACTGCACCTGCCGGTGCAGCTTTAATAACTAGTGGGACAATGCCTTTATAGACATCGGCCCATCCCTCCTGGAGTAAAATGTGACTGAGAGCATCATAATTATTTCTGTCATTAAGCTTGACTTGAGCACCATATCTTGAATGCCTCTTTAGTCCTTCAATGTGAATCCCTCTTCTTCACTAGGAAAAGCTAGAAGCCTGGAAGAGAATCAAGGATATCAATGAACGCAGATCTCAGGCTCAGGTAAACCTGCATGCAAAATCCCTTCCCAGCTGCCCCAGTTCTTCTTCTTCCATCTCTCGTATTACACTACACTGGTACTACCTTATAGAGAAAAATTGGAATAGGAAGACGTGAACAACCATCAAAATTTCCAGATTTTCAATGCAATAAAAATATGTGGTACTTGCTTCAATTTTGTCTATTTAACATGCAAATTTTTACATAGTATATTACTGGGGGTATGTAATTTTTTCAATTGTTTAAAAACCGCAGATTTGCATCCAAACATTGCAGATTTATAGCTATTTTTTAAGGTACTCTTTTATCTCTTATTTGACTAAACCTAAATAAATGAATAGAGAAAGCCTATAGAGCACTCTGATTATTTGTAATTTTTTCAAAATTATGGAGATATGAATTAAAAAGAAACCCAAAATTATGTCTACAAGTATATTTCATTTAAAAGGTTCTGTCCAATTTTCTCTCCACCCAGGTTTACAAAAGAGGTTCCATATATATGTCATATAAAGGTTAACCTACCCTCTTTCTTATATAAGAGTAGGACATCCAGAGTTTTTGAAAAAAATTAATCCATAAAACTCATATATATTACATTTCTTATATATGTCATCTAATGGTTAGTCTATCCTCTCTTTTTGCTAGTAGAGTTTTTTTGTCAATCGTCACAAGTACCAAAAATTGGAAAGTGATGTCTAGGTTGATCTGGGGTGATGGCAAGTTGTTGCACAGGTATGATCATATAGCTTCTTAGGTATTGTTGACTTTTTACACCAATGCTAATTCTTCAGGTTACTTTATGGAAAGTAAACAATGAATTCACTCAATTTTCGATGGAATTTGATTCTCTTGATTCCAGCTCACTACTAGGCTGATCAATGGTTGATTGTAATCTCTCATAAAAGATTGAAGATATCCAGAAACATACTCACCTCGAAAGGGCTGTCTTAGGGAGTCCATGGAACTACGTACACTACTCATTTTATCCAAGATTGAAGAGAGATTAAGAGGCTTGCTCACCTTGGAAAAGCATCTTCAGACTTTATCTAGGGAGTCGAATTAAGTTATCATATTATTAGCTTTGTTTTTTTAATATCTTTAGTTTAGTCTCAAATGTTAGAGGTGCTTTAATTTTAGACTTTTAGGGGTAAGGTGGATGTCCCCCCTATTTTTATTGTATCATGTCTTTATTTTGAATAAAATTTGATAAATGACACTCTAATTTGGTGATTTGTCTTTAATATTATATTATTATGTATGCAGTATATTTTATACTACGTATTAGTTAACATTAGATAATAATGAAATATGACATTTGTTACCTAATGTTCCGTAGGTGTTACATTTGTGTTGGTTAAGGACCGTTACAAATGCACTCAATTTGTGGTAACACTTTCGGTTAGTTAAGAAGACCATTACAATTGGTTCTAAAAATCGTTACATAGTGTTACATTAGAGAAAAGGCAACGCCAGCGAATGTAATGGCACAAAACTGTTACATTTAGGAAAATGTAACAGAGTTATCGACCAATAGTGACGAAATTGACCGTTACAAAAGGCCTCTAAATGTAGTAGTGATACATAAGACTCAAATATGTGGACAAATATTGCTATATTCTTTGATAATTACTCAAATATTACTATATAAAGGCCTAATATGATAATGTATACTACTACACAATATGTTAGAACACTCACCACAATGATAATCACTCATCAACACTACCTATTTTAAATTGTGTAGCACATTCAAAAATAGGGCATACCCCTGGGAAAAGAAAATCCATAGCAGGCAGTTTGCAATGCAAAAACCTACTGTCCAAATACCAAATACAAAAGGGAGAGATCCCTTACAAGCCTAAGTCAAACATCAATCAAAAACAAAAAGGCCAGAAAGTACGAATGTCCAAAATAGCACAAAGAAGCCGAAAAATCAGCACTCAAATGCCAAACAAGCAGCATAAAAACCAGAAATTAACAAAACGCAGGTAGGGGAACCATAACAAATAAAAACTTAATCAAGTTTGTGGTTTAAGTTAGGGTTCATATATGCAACCCTAATTATTTAAATGCCCTTTAAATATTGTCTCTTAACACATTAAACTTATTACTCAAACTTGTTTGGTTTAATAATTACTCAAACCAATGCACCCGATTGTGCATTTTGAGTTTAAATAGCCCTAAAAAGAATATATGATTCCCCTGCTCTACTTAGAAGAAGCTTAAAGAAATTTAAAAGAGGATTAATCATATAACTACCAAGTAAGAATTATCCATATAATCTGGTTTTTTTTTTCCTTTTATCGTCTACTCTAAGTTTCATTTTACTTAAAAAGAGGTTAGAATACTAAACGGAGATAAAATTTGCAAGACAAAAAGAAAATCTAAAAGGAAAAAGCTTAATGAAAAATTTTCAAACAACTATAATGAAAGAAATGGAGAATATTACTCGAAATAGGACTAAAACAGTTTGAAAATTCCAAAATAGGACTGCCATGTTTTTATTCCCAAAATAGCACTAAATACTGTCATGTTTTGGCAGTACCAGGCTTAAAAAATGGCAGTATTTTCTAAACATAACAATAATTAGTCCTATTTTGGGAATAAAAAACATGAGAGTCCTATTTTGGAAATTTGAAACTATTTTAGTCCTATTTCGGGAACTTTCCCAAAAAAAATACAGTATAATTTTTAAAATTACAAAATGATGAGTGGTGTATAAGAAGTTAAGAATTGTATTAGATTAGTCTCTTTATTCACTTTTCCTTTTTCCTGTGTCACCTTTATTTTTTTTCAAAGGCAAAAAGATGGCATCTTTGCCTAGCTTCCTATAGTTCACAATCTTCCCATTGCTTGTAGTGATTATAAGGCGGGGAAGTGGACTCTGCTTAAGTTTCATAATAAATACAGTATTATTAATGAGGTCTGGTAAATAACTTAATAATACTCCGTACAAGATAAAACGTTAGAATAAAGGTTGTTATAATAGTGACTATATTAAGAGGGAATGAGATGTGATCAATTTTGCTTCGAGGATAGTAGCACGGACTGCGTCCAAGTCCCTCTAGTAGGGTTTGAAACTTCCGCCGCTACAGTGCGGATTGATGCGAGTACAGAATGATGGCAAGTAGATCACCAAGAAGATCGGGGGGCTGGATGGAATCTCAGGGAGGAGGAGGCGACGGCTCTTGGAAGACGATCGCAGGTTCCGACGAGGAAGGGGAAGAGACGGCGGCTGCAGGTGTTGGGAAAAGTGTGGAGCGACTATCCGCCCAATACGACGGTTTGGGGATTGGGAGCACGGGGGACGAGCTGTTACTGGACGACGAGGACATCAAGGAAGAAGATACCTATGCGGTGAAAAAGGGAGTGGAGGAATTTCCCGTGGTCGGTACGATTCTGTCCGACAAAGTGGTAAAATTCTCAATTTTTCGTGATCTAATGGCGTCTCTCTGGCGCCCGAGTAAAGGAGTATGGATTCAGAAGATTGGGGAGAAGAGGTACTTATTTACTTTTTACCATAAAATCGATATGAATCGTGTGCTGGATAATGACCCTTGGTTGTTTGATCAAAATTTGCTAATGTTAAAACCTATTAAACAGGGTGATATGCCTCAGAGAATATCTCTAGATACGACTTATTTTTGGATTCACATTCATAATATTCCGTATGGGTTTTCAAATTTGGGATATGCTCGTAAGATAGGGAATTATCTGGGAAAATTTTTATCCTGGGATGACAGACAGTTTGATGAAAAATGGGAAGCCTACATGAGGATCAGGGTTACACTGGATGTGAGGAGGCCTTTAAAAGTGGGTACTACGTTGAAAAAGAGTAGGGGAGAAGGTTATTGGGTAGATTTCAAGTATGAAAAACTGCCTAGTTTCTGTTTTGCTTGTGGTGTCATTGGACACGCTGAAAAATTTTGCCCATCTCTATATGATAAAGGCGATGGAGAGTTGGTACGACGTTATGGCCCATGGCTTCGGGCGGGAGGAGGGAGGTCCCGACCAACTATGGGCAATAAATGGCTAGTCGGTGAGGGAGGGGTTGGAAGAGACCAAGCAGGGATGAACATGAACTCCTTTGGCAATCAGCATCAGGGACAGTACAGCCTGGATAATCAGAAACAGGAAGCTGAAGATGTCTCTAAAGTCGCAGAAGCAATGGGTAGCATAAGTGGAACCGGAGAACAAAAGAGAAGGCGCACATGGGAAGAAAGGGGACAAGAGCTGAAGCAGCTGGGAGAGGACGCCATGGTTCTGGAAGATCCAAAAAATAGGGTGGAGGCAGGCTGGGGCTCCCAGACCCGCCAAAATCAGTGAAGCTTTGGATTACTTGGAGTTTCAGAGTTTTTATCGTTTTTAATAATGGCTTTATTTCTATTGATATTTGCGTTGTACATTGCGTGAGTTTGATTGTTTTTATTGTTTGTTTTACCAAGACTCTAGAACATAGGACAGGGGATGGAGAACCTAGATGACTAGTCATTGGCTCAAGTAAGCCCAATTCAGGATCAGCGAATCTGGTTGCTTCGCTAGAGGTGGCAGATTCTAAGTCTGGTTCAAGGGCGGATGGTAGGCAAGGGTTCTTTGTCAGTTTGTACTCTGTTTGCGTTCTCTCTTATTAATATAAGCCACCTGCTTCCAAAAAAAATAACAGTGACTATATTGGAACCACTGAACTAAATTAAACACCGAATTTGATATTTCATATTGTCATAAGTGTGGCCTAAAATTAAGGTTGCTTCAAGTTAAACTGATGTACGTGGTATAACTCAGCTGGTCTTTAATGAATGTAGCATGTAAATTGTTTCGTTTTCGAACCCAGCCTGATGTACGTGGTATAACTCAGCTGGTCGTTAAAAGTCAAGCTTCTTTCTAATTACTCCACCGAATACGCAGGACCGGCGAGAGCACAGGACCGGCAGTCGGCGGAATTTCGAAAGTTAACCTAACGAGCACTCAGCAGTCAGCACTGAGGCGACGATTCATTATTGATATTTTGAATTATTCAATTACTAATTCAGTTACTCATATGTACTCCGTGTCATTTGTGTTTGGCGTGTCGTTTGTTCCATCTTGGTGTCGTTTCATTTTAATGTTTTCCCCTTTATACTTAGAGAAACGTCGTCGTTTAGCTAAGAGAATTTCAAACGAAAATGACAACCGTTCATTGGTTTCGTTCAGCAGAGCAACCCTACTGCTACGCCGACGATTAAAAACGAGGTAAGCTGTCGGGGTGCCGCCCTAAGCAACACATATATATACATCAAGTACTCCGGCGAAGGGGGGAGCGCCGGTACCAGCTCGCCCCCTGGTTCCGCCGCTGGATAGAACAAGGAGGGGTTGAATTAAAGAACACATACATAAACTTGAAAATAGAGAAAGAAATTACCTGATTTTGGAGAAGAGAGTTGCGTTCATCGGAAGGAGAGAGTTGTGGTTGAAGTTCGACGGAAGAAGAGAGCTGCGGTCATCTACTATTTTCGATTAATTGAAGAATGGATTTTTTTGGAAGAAAATTAATAAGCAAACGGGAATCTAGCAAAACCTAAGACCTTGTTGGGTTTGAGATGACCGGTAATGTCATTCCTTGTTGGGTTTGAAATGCATAGGGCCTCTGCAAGTATTGGGGACAGAACTACACTCTCTATCTGTCAGATTGGGATTATAGTCAAATTTACATCCTCTCAACGTACCGTCCGGTCAGGGTTGGGGGGCCCTCAAGGATGGGGTGTCATCTTGGGAATGTAACATTCCAAAAAAAATCAATCCCGCAAACCAAACACAAGTATCTCACATCCCGGGCATCAGATTCCAGCCTAAAGGTTTGTCGGATAATCTTATTGAAATAATGAAAAAAATGTTACAAAAAGTACGATAACTTTATCGTAAATTCGCCATTGTGATTACGGACTTATGGTATACATAAACTTGAACAAAATCATACGGAGTTGTAATTATTAAATTACTACTCCCCCATCGGTTTACACACATTTGGGATGATATTGATCAAATTAAGGTCCAATCCGTTTACACGCCTTTTAAGAAAGTGAAATTGTTTGGCTCTATTTGGACTGTTTGACACTGTTTTTGCACCGTTTAGAAAATGAACTTTTATTTAGGCACGATCCGAATAGAAAAGAGAGACTTTTAATTATTTAGATACGGAGAGAGTATTATACGGAGTAGTTTATAAAGTATTAAAATTACATTTTTGTTTAATTATTTCATTATAGTCATATATTCAACTCTATTTTTTATTCTTCAATTAACACCTTCACACACTCAAAAAAAAGATTTCAATCTTTAGATTCAGATTTAATAGGATGAGTTCATGGTATCCAAAAAGTTCAACCTTTGATTCAGATCATCCCAAAACGTTTGTTTCATCATGTTCCAAAGTACATTGGAAACGGAGATCGAAATGCAAAATGATACACCACAAAGCTAGCTAGCAGAATATATAGCTACTAGCTGGAGCTAGCCATCAGTTTACATTTAAGACAAAATGGAATCTTGTCGGCCGACTTGTCATCAACGAATTCTAACTCTCGCCCCCATTCTTGAATCCCCGGCCGCCGGCCGGCCAGCGGTTAACAAAGAAGGGGAGAAGAAGCCATGTTGTGTTGCTTCTAATTCTTCCATGATGATGAGCCTCCGTTTTTTGTAGTTCTCCTTGAAACAGGCTTGCCTTAATCTTTTAGTGTCCTCTTCTAGTTCCAAATCTGGAATTTCTTCAACCCGCTTTTTCTCCCTCTCCAGCATTTCTATCCTTGCCTTCGTTCTTTCCACCAAACCTTCATTTTCATTATTGTTGTTCCCTAATTCCTATTCCCAAAGTTAAATATATAATCTCACAGGATAAGCTCAACAAGATAAATTTAAATTTATTGGCTAAAACAAACAATTTTACAATGCATGCATTGAGTACGGAGTATTTAACCATGCTAGTAAATAATTAATGACGTCCATGCCATGCTATACAAGAATATAATGGCGCACTAGAGATTAGTATTCTTGTTTAGCTATACAAGAATATAATGGCGCACTTTTGTAGCGGTTTTAATGTAGTTTCTGAATATGTTAATTTTATTTATTAAAAATAAACAGATTGTGAACTTTGCTTTATCGACAGTCAAGCATCGTAAACCGTTCACGGGAACCTTCTAGCGGGACTGAGGGAGTAAAATTTACCCAAAAAATATATACATATACCTATGGGATGATTATGGCCAACTGGGATTATATTGTTTTATAAATATAAATTTAATTCGTTGTCAAAAATTACTCAAAATAAGAGTACAATATAGCAACAATTCAAAAGTAGGACTAAATAGCTTTATTTCGAAATACATCTTTTTTAGTCTTATTAAAATGATAAAGTAATAAAAACATTCGAAAATATATACTCCGTAGTAAATGAGTGAGTGGTATTTTGAAAAGAAAATAGTTACACTTAATTCTATTTAAGTAAATAGGTTATGTTTTATTACTCTTATTTGGATAGTCTTATCATAATACTTATATCACTCGTAAGAAATTTTAACAAAATAAAGAAATACATAGTATAAATTATTTTAGATAATGCACTCCTACTTTGACCAATTTCTTGATAAATACGGAGTAGGTCATAAGAATAAATTGAACATATTTTTGGAATAAAGCAAAGTTATTCATATTTGTAAATTATCAATGTTTCCCTTTTTGTTTGGCCTATATATACATGGAATATTCTTCATTTACACGTTTTGTGTAGATATTTCTTACATTTTAATTTATTACGTATCTGTGTATAGATGATTTGTCCAAAAATTTGAATGACACAAACAACTTTTGGCCAATATATATGTAAGAAATGTGAACAAAAAACTTGCACAAAACTAGTGAATTTTTGTACATACAAATTAAAGGCATAAATCCGTACGTACCTGGACATAGTTGATTAAGGTTTGAAGACTGGCGAGCTTCCGGTGAGGCCACCGGCGAATTCCCAACATCCGGCATCTCTTCTTCAATAGGGTTATGCCCACTCCAAGCTCCTTGGCTGCTTCCATTATGGGCATGTGGAAGTACTCCGATATCTTTGTTCTTGACAAACTTAAAGCATTCTTACTTTCATCTTCTTCCCCATGCTGTTGATGAAGCTCATCTCTACTTCTGGACCTCTTACACGACGTCGTTTTCCTCCTCTCCATGGTATTTTCATCCCCATTCCCTGGAGCAGGAACCAGTACTTCTTGCTGCATGCAGCTAGGGGGCTGTTTGGCTGGCGCCGCTTCCACATCGTAGAAATCTAGAAATGATGGTGAAGACAGCATTGGGTAGTCATCGATCAACGGTTCCATGCAGCTGAAATCAGAGTAAGGCGTGGTGGAGAAATAGTTCCCCGAAAAGTTATAACAATCATATTCTTGCATCCAAACGTCGCCATAGCTGTTGTACTTCTCTTCCTCAGAAGCCCAAGTAGTAGTGGAGGTAGTAATGTCTTCATAATATACCAAACTGTTAATTACAGAAATAAATGGAAGTAGTACATTCAGCTTCTTGTGTACTGAAAAAATGAGAAATATTTTATTCTACCTCCCAAAAAAAAAATATTTCTTTTTATGATGTTCTCTAAATAAAAATTCTCTTTCTTTTTTGGCAAACAAAACAGTGGAAAACATTGTCAAAGAGTGTTAATTAAAGAACCTCACTTTCTTAAATTATGTATAAAACGAATATGTTCTTTTATTTAGGGATGGAGCTAGTATTGCCTACACGATGTCATTAGATATACAGACTATATATATATTCACTTATTAAAATTTAGAAACTAACCTGGTGTGGAGATGATCATAATCAGATTGGAGAAGAAGAGGGGAGATATTGCTGTCTGCATAGAAATTTCCCCAAGAATTGTCAAGCCCGTAAGAATGGCTATGGCTTCCCATGTCGAAGTAAGCCATGGATGAAGAATGGAACGTAACCCAAAAAACAGTTTAAAAGTATGGGTGTGTATTTATTTATTAAATGGGGAGTAACAAATTAATGTAATGATTATGTGGGAATGTAATCATGCGAATTTCTTACCTTAACGCACGTGCGCCGTACGCCGCAGAATTGAGCATATTCACCCCGTCCGCGGGTTGCCGGCCTGCTCCGCCACGATATACTATGCATGCGGCTGGCCGGGTAATTTCCTTTCCAAGGGTATCAGTCCGGCCTTGTCTTCAAAATGAAAATGTATAAGACTCTTTTCACACAAATAGAATAGTTAAAAATTATTCTTTAAAATTTTTTATCATTGGGATCCATTCACCAAGAAAATCTAATTTGACTAAATTTTATGAGACATGGTGAGATGAGGGAGCAAATATACTAGGCACATTTTATATTTTACGGAGTATTATAGGATGACAATTTCCCTGAGATAGAGATTGGGGCTCTGTCCTTGGTACTTGCAGAAGTTTTATATATATTTTAGCATAGTAATCTCTCATCGCAGTTAGCGGGATTCAAATTCGGGACCTAACCTTTGTGGCACTCCCTCGCTACCAGTTGAGCTGCGCCTAACGGTATAAAAACAGTTTAGCAAATATCAACATCTTTATCAACCGTTGACGTACAGGGTGATATCTTGCGTGGTTCTATGTCGACCCTTGACTTATTCATTTTCCCAAATCTTGAAAAAAAAATGGAATATATTTCCTTGATTAAACTTAGAGAAATTACCCAAAATAGAACT